GTTTCCGGCAGTCTACCCAGCAAGAAACGGAAAACGTGACCGAAGTTTTGATGTTGCAGCTAGGTAGAGAAAAGTAATCATTTCTGATCAAAACAAAACAAACCCGATCGAAAAACGTTTTGTTTTGTTGAAGTTATGGGACTTTTACTGAAAGCACCACCACATAGACCGAATTCACGGTTAATTTTTCTTTTTTGCGAAGCCTATAAGTTTCTTACTAGATGAGTTAACGGGGTCAATCAATCGTCATTTTGTAGAGCGTTTTTTACTGCATCTTTTCTTCATAGAGACAAATTTACAACCACTTGTTTCACTATAGAAAAATTTGTTATTCAAATCGAGTCAGAACTTCTGGCCCACCCTTTACGTGAAAAAAACATGCTCGTCTTCTGCGAAAAATTATTCGTTCACCTTTATTTTTAAGTTTTCTCTTTAACTATAACACTTAGAACAAGTTTAAGAAAAGATTTGAATAGCTGAAAGAGCTGCCAATCTGATGTAGTGTAGATAAATGTTCGATCAAAAATTTTGAAATCAGGATCTCTGGAAACCAAAACCTCAGAAGAAAGCCTCTTAGAATTCAGTTTTTGCAAATAACCCCGTCGTATAGAGCAAACATTAGGCACAGAGCAGTGGATCTAGTTTTACAGTTTACTCTATGTAGCTTCACGCATTTTCTTACGAATATAGTTTTGTGAGCAATCGCACATTGAGGAGCAGTGTCGACTTCCACAAGTTAATGGAAATTTTAGAATTCAACAGAATTTATCCTATCGACTCTCACTCTCACGATGTGAGCCCTCCACATACGCATACTTGCATCCCACGGTGTTTCTGACCAGGGTGCATGGTTATTTAGTCTGCATCAAAGGGCATTTAGGTTTTCTGAACAGATTTTGAAAGCGTTGAAACATTGAGCTTTCCAAAACTTGCGCCTTTCTGATAAAAAACCAAAGTCAAAATTGCCAATATGACCTAGAAAGTCTAGTTAAATGTTCTTAAGAATCTTATGCTAAGCTTACTCATGTAGCGAATACGGTGAACACAAGAGTCGAAACTCGCAGCTTTCACAACACCTTCCATTGAATGTTCAAGTATAAACAGTTGCTTCTTTATTAAAAAGCGTTTCACAGATTTTTCTTTTAGCTTCAAACACATCACAAATACTAATGTTAGCTTAAAACAAAATTTGAATTGTTTATATTGCTTGTCAGATCTTTTCATAATTTACTAAATGTACAAAATGTTTAAAGCTCGAATAAATCACAAAAACAGTCGTTTAAAATTATTTGACTCATATTTTTCAGAGTAAAAAATGAAGTATATTCAACGAATTCAAAACTTAGTCATACGATGAATACGAAAACAAAAAAATCGTCCTTGTCTCCGAAATGCACATTTCACAATCATCATCGAATATCCTTCAGTGTTATAAAAACAAACGTTTACGGGTGAGTCAATTTGCTCTTTTCCAATTAATTCGCCTTCATTTGAAACACACCCAATTGGATTGAAAATATTGCTTGTGAATAACCACATTTTGCCGGGACAATCGGACAAAAGGACAATCTTATACCTTGATGGTGAAGTATTCCAACTCGTGACTTTTGCAGACAGTATGAGTTTTCCATCTCCTTTAAGTTTATTCTTATTCTCCAGTCCATCAAGGAAAACATAAAGGAGAAAAGAACAAGCAGTGCCACTTAAAACAGGTTCAATAGCTCGAATCTGTATCTGTATTGTTCAGATAGAATAATACAAAATCATGTAAGGTCAAAATATCACTAATAAAATAAAATGTGAAGCTTAAAACAGCTGCATCAACCACTATGGTAAAGTTGAAAAGAACTTCACAGTTACAAAAAGCAAAATGCAGTTTCGCCATGTTCCTTTTCTCTTTCGAGTTCATAAAACCGAGTTAAATACTGTTTCAAAGCGAGAAATGAAGTTTCTCCTTTCTCATAAGCTTCTATCGGATACTCAGCTTCATCGAAAACATGATTCTACTTCCATTTTACATCCAAGGGACTCAAAGACGACTAATCATGTGTGGTATATGTCGATTAAGTGAGTACGTGCGCGTATCAAATAATCAGTCAAGCTTTTAAAAAAATGTTTAAGATAATATCAGATATCATATAAGGCGCACCAAATTCAAAGATGCAGTGACTTTTTTTCAAAAATTTTTCGTGGATTCTGATTCGCTGCAGTGCGCCGAGCACGCATCTGGCTTTTTTTAAAATGTTGACCGCGTTTTCAGATAGAAAATCACAAAAACTGGGTAGGTGTGAAAAACTCAAATTACATGATCGTTTCAGAAAACGATCTCTAGCTCTTCCAAATTACGATCTAACTCTTTGAATTTAACTTCATCAGATTCCCTACATGTAACTGGTTCTAACCACGTGTCATTTAAGGACTTTGAGTGAAAAATGAATTTTTGGCATCGCTTCAAAGAGCAACTACTCAAAAACAGAAGCCTTCACCTTGCAAATGTATCTAGTCCCTGGATTCAAAAGCTAACTCTTTAAATCATATGTCAAAAGATTCGCCAAACGACGCGCAACAAAGTTATATTATACATTTTTGATAAAAGTTTTTGTTCTTGAGATATAGAGCATTCTTTGAAAAGCTGGTGCAAACGGCCAGGTTCGATTTTTCTATCTTGGCCAAATTTTGATCAAATTAGCTCAAACTCACAGAGAATAGATAAAAAAGAGTGCTGAATCTAATACAAGTCATTTCGAAAGATTTTGATCGGTTTGAGGTGGGTATCATTAGAAGTATCAACAGATATAACAATTAACATCTTTTCTCTTCTCTGTTTGTGCTACTAGTTCTATTATGGACAAATGATTAACATAATATATCAAAAAATACAGGTATAAAAATGGAAGGTATAAAAAAAGCTAATATCTGATTGGTGATGAAAATGTTTTCAAAAAGCTAATCTGTAAAAAATATTTATACAAAAGATCTATTTTTCCACTTCAGCATTAGTTATTTTTCGATTGTACCGAACTGTCACACAGAGAACTAAAAAACATACAGAGAACCTCTTGATAAGATTGTCCTTTTGAATAGGCAAGAACAGTTTTCCAAAATCGTCTTTGAAGTTTTAAGTTAATTTCCTTTTCATCAAAATGTGTCCGTGCTTATTTTATCAGCTGAATCAACTTGTCAAAGTTTTGTTCGCTATGTGTACGAACATAGATTGTCATGTTACATCACAGCTCCTCAATGCTCGACATCTCACAATGGTATTTTGGCAAGAACAAAAACACCAAATGAATTAGTAAGTCGTTCGAGTTTAGTTGTCTATAAGGTAAAATAGATAACCAGAGAAAAATTTTAAAAAATCTGAACGAAAACACAACTGATGGACACAACTACCTTTTGGAATGCTGATTGAGTGGACAGCAGTTCTTTCAAACGATCTAATTTGATTTTCTCATCAACTTTGAATCTTAGTTCACGTGCCAGGACAAGCAAGCCTTTCGAGCATCCATTCTTTACATTAGGTGGATAATAACAATCAATTTCATGCAATTTACCATCTTTATCTTCCCACTCAACAACATCAACAGGGCAACGAGTATTCTCTCTTTTCCCAAAATCGTTTACTGAATAAAATTTTGCTGTATGAGTGGTAGCATTATCCACCAAAATCACAAACTTGTGTCCTTTGTATTCCGTTTTGTGTGGAAGAAGTTTACAAATTCGTGTAAATTGACTTAAAATAACTTCATTAGTAAAGTATCCTTTAATACCAATGGCAATCGAAACTGTGGCAGAATTCTTTTCATAATTTATACCGTTGTTATCTTCAAGTTCTGGATATTTATTTAATGCTTCTTTATGCTTCATAACTGTTAGCCGAAAAAATGGTGATAATGAGTGAGCAACGAGAAAATCAGAAATCATTAGTGATCTACCACGTCCTTTACTGAAGAAAGGCTCTTAACCAGGAACAATCCCACCATCTATGAGCTATCTCAGAGGGTCTGAAAGTTGATTCATCATGACCTTATCAAAAAGCAAAAAAAAGGTGAAGTGCGGCAATCAGCACAAGAAGGGGATAAACCACCTACATAAGAGCACTACCGGATCTGTAACTGTAGGAAGGATCCACTTTGGACTATCGCCTTCTGTCACGCGATAAAAATGATGTTTTCTGCACAGAAAGTACTGGACAATCTGATTCCTATGTTCAATAACCTCCGGTTTCTCATGACCAAGAAAATACGGCCAGGATTTGTTAACTGAACACTCAATACTCCCACGTCTAAAGTCTAAACGACAACTTTCCACACAACGAACATAGCCTGAGTTCTGCTTTGAACATTTTGTGATTTCACAATAATAATCATTGATAAAACGAGATAGCTCCTCCGCAGAAAACGATGCAGCTTTTCGTCCACAAGCCTGAGCTGCAAATCCATAAGCTTCCTCTCGAATATTTGGATATTGATCCCAAAAGCAGTCACCTCTTTTACCACCACGTCGATCAGCAACAAACATATCAAAATCATCTTTAACAAAACTTTTACACCATTTGTATGAAGTTCTTGGTGCAAAAGCTCCAACACTACTCATAAAACCAACAACAACAATATATGGAATACCCAAGTGTCTCAAACATAAGAAGACTAATACATCAACGAGGGAACCCCTCGAAGTGATTAAACGCTTTTTTCTCGGAATCTAGTGGGTTATAGGTTATCGACCATGCTGATCACGAATACGACCATGGGGCTTCTCCATAGCCCTTCGAAGACCCGGTTTTCTAGAAAACCAGTTTTTCAAAAACTCTAAAATATAACTCGAACGTTTCTTAATGAGATATGATTGTAGCCCGCACATTTCTGATTAAAATGAGACATCTCCCAGCTTTGTACGACCTTTCTTTGCACAGTTATAGAATTTACAAGAAAAGCCCTAAATGTTCATTGTCAGCTCAAAGCTACAAAAATAAGAAGAAATTAATTTAGGGAAGAAATTAAATTACGCACGTCACAAAATTGAAAAAAACTGAAGATTTCATTATCTTTCGTTCTTTCTGTTTCTATAGCAAAACTAGTTATTAAAAAAACATGAATCAATGTCACAGTGGTGAAAAGTGCATTTCATTATCTATCAAGAGACTTTGTTCATTATAACTGCTGTGTGATAAAAGTATGTTTACTTTTTTCGTTAACAATATAAACGAAACAAAGATTTCTTGATTAGAGAATATTTAAATACGAATAAAGATAAAACTTTAATTATAGGTAATTTATTAAGTTTGCTGACAATTCGTAATGAACAATATTATAATATAATTTTTAGAATATAAACCAGACGTTTCGATTTATTAGTCAAATTTTCTTCAGTAGGAAAACAATAAAAGAAAATTAATTTAATTTAAATTAGATCAAGACATTTAAAAAATTAAACATAAGTTATCACAAGTAACTTTTTACAAGTACATAACATGTTAACAATAAAACTAAAAAATATTCTACGCCTGATCTTTGAGTGATGAGTTTTCTATTGATTAACAAATTGTAAGAGACCTCTCGTGAAGAAAAACAGACAATAACTATTCTTGCCTAAAACCGATCGTTGCCTAGCAAAATTCTTCATGCTTTGTTTTAGTCGACTAAGTGGAACAATAGGATAGAGACAGGAGTTTATTAAAATGATAAACTTGCTATAGATTGTTGACCGAGGCCTTTTGCCTGAAAAAATTTGTGTACAGAGACTTCCTTTTTTTTACGTTTCAGCTATGATCCATTGATGGACAGCATACTGCTAGGGGTAATTTAATTGCATCTTTATGAGTCGGCCACAAACTTTTAAATGCTCATATATTTATCTCCCCAAGAAAAAGTGAGAGAGAAAATAAAGGCATAGCATTAGTGCTATGACGTTCTACTTGCCATGGATTATTTGTCGAATTTTGAAACTTAATTCGTTTTTCAGATCAATATTATTTAGGAAAAACATTAGCCTTTCTTTAGGATCAATTATGACGTTATATAATTTATTAGTGGGAGAAGCATATACATTTTCCCTAAATTAGTCATTTTGGGATGGATATTCGCGATCAACAAATAAAATTGAATCTTTTACTTGTGTGTTTTTATACGAGATAAGTCAATTGCTTCTAACGTGTCTTTTATTTTCTCTCTCACTTTTTCTTGGGGAGGTACTTAACAATTGAATACTTTTGTTTATACAAGCAATTTCCCATGTTTTATGCTTTTTCGTGAAGAGATGATTTCAGTGATACTCGATCACGCACCGACGTAATGACGATTGTGTCGTCGAAGAAAAAAATAAACTTTTTTCCAATCCATTAAATTTTTAAATAAATTTCTTTTTGCATAGATAAATAGCCATTATAATCATTCTGTATTTGCAAGATCAAACTGTTCTTTCATGTGAATAGGTCTATTTTATTTTGCCTTTACAAACTCCATAATAGAAAAATATGTATATACTCGGCTTTCTCAAAATCTGACTCTATTTTAACTACGGGAACTGTCAAATTTGGTTTTCTATAGTCGGTTTTGCATGTCAAATCAGAAAACATTAGGTTCAAAATGATAGATCAGAAATAGATATGAAAATTTTGGTTATTTCTGAGAATTTCATGTGTTTTTGTCTCTTTTTAAAAATCAATATTTTGCAAAGTTTTTTACTCAAAAATGACTTCAAAAAGCCTCAAGCGGACTGCTTTCTGTCTAACTCTATCCAACTATAGCAGAGAGAACCAAAAAGAATTCTGCTCCCTTTTTGCGTTATTTCCACCTTATTGTAGCAACTTTTTGACTATTTCTCTTAATGGTACCTTTCAATTTTTTATCCTGTCAAAAAACACGAGATAAAACGTCAGATCACGAATACAGATGCCATTTAGGGACTTTGATAGAAGCTAAATTCAATTTTAAGTTCTTGTGTTTGACTGTGATGAAGCGTTTTTCATATGTAGGGTCTACATCTTTCAAAATAAAGTGGGCGCTGATATTTTCTAAATAACTTCCGAATGAAAAGTGATAGAAAGCTTCGATTTTCACATGCTGAACCTAGGCTCTTCCGGACATAACTCTATTAAAATATGAGAGCTCCCGATCAGGTTGCTATGGTGTACCATTCAAGACGAAATCTGAAAGCTTACCGATCCGAAAAACACACTAGAAAATCTAATCTTAAATAACACCAATCAATAGCCACAACATCACTTCTTCACTTTTTCGACATTCCAGATGGGTTTTTTGTTGCTGGTTTTTGTTCACAGCGAAGCAGAGAGAAACAATATAACAGTAGAACAAGTTTTCTGAGACAGAAAACCTTGGTTTTAGACCTCAAATTCATTTTTTACGAATACGCTAACATTTTAGAGCAAAATCAAAGAAACTCTCGGAACCAGCTCGTTAAGCTGCATGGAGTCATATATAGCATTAACTTTTCCCGAAAAAAATTCTTTTCCTATACCAAAACTGTTTTGACATCTTTATGAGTTGGTCACAAACTTTTAAATGCTCAAATATTTATCTCACAAAAATGATCGAGTCAGAGGTAAAACGAGATGCTTTAGTTATAAATAACAATGATTTCAATTTATGCCTTGAACTGATTGCTGTCGCACTTGTTCGTCCAATTAAAAAATACATTAACATCGCTTTGCTACTGAAAACAAATAAAATTAATCATATCGAGAGACACTCTAGAACACGTAATATTCGTTTTGGTGGAATTGACAACTCTGTGCTACCCTATGACCTGAAACAAGTCATCGATGGTGTAGCACAACTCTCTGGAATTCCTCTAGATATTAAGCAATTGAAGTGGCTCATCGTGTTGGTAGGCAAAAGCTATGTAGAATAGTTATTTATAGTTATTTATTTACGAGAGGTCTCTTACAATTTGTTAATCAATAGAAAACTCATCGCTCAAAGATCAACTGTAACACTGTTCGAAGACGTAACAAAACGTGACCTAAACATTATACAGACAATACGAGATAAACCTCCTAATGAATTAAAGCAGAATGTTTTTATACGAGCTGGTCGGGTTTTACTCAAAAATAGTCAGGAAAATTTGAAACCCATTGCTGATGAAATTATAATAAACGAATTATTAAAGTGATTCGATATGGAGACTGTACACAAGGCGATTACAAACACTGATTATCAGTCCATCGAAGCATCTCGAGCCACTCAACCATCCTGATTGGAAAAGCGCATCAAGACTTTAAGTTCGAAATGAGGTAAAAAATGAGCTAAATATGCATTCAGTAGTGTGTAAAACGCTGGAAGACCGCCATACGTCTGTAGCTTGTATTGACCAAGGCAAATTCAAGGTAGGTGACATAGTTGATATTCATAAATTACAAAACCATCTCCTTAATTTGACAGATACCTAATTCGAAGGTTTATCTGGATATTTGCCACTAGTTGAGGAATGACTTTTGCAACGGATGACGATATCACCGATAGCAGTTCACTTGTTGCACAAAAACACAACGTTATCAGTAACCAGAATACAATTACACTTGCGAAAATATTTATTTCAAAATTCTTGAAAACAGTTATCTGAAAATCTAATGACATATTTCTTTATCTACGTCGATCCAGTCTTTCTGAATCTTTAACTGGCTTCAAAATCGTAAAATGAGTGTAAGTCGTGGAGAGTGCAAGTCAAGATTATTTTCTATCTTAGTTGGTGCTTTGTGCCGTCATTGCACCGATTGAATTCAATAACGACTCATCATCTTTATACGTAAATTTCAAATGACGAAGAGTAATGTACATCAGTGTACTCAAATGTCTGATGTTGACGATTTTCGCACAAAGTGCAAATAGATCACCAACATTGTCAATCATTTCTTTAGCCGAAAACTCGAAGCTTTCACCTTTTAAAACCTCTTCATCATCCCCGGACGAACTCTCCGGTTTTGTCTTCGTGAGGGATTCGGTAGAAAATTTCGTTTTTAAATTGTTATGTTCAATTTGAGAACGTCGTTTACTAACGTGAGGCATTCTGATGAGTTAAAATAGTTATTTAAAACAGAAGAAATTATTAATTTATGAATTAATTAATCCTGTCCGAGTTCTCTGTTATTTATGATTCATTTCACGCAAAACGGAAGGCCGTTTGCACTTCTTCAAATGAAAGTAAAATAGTTCGAGAGGAAAGAGGAACTGCAACTTTATTCTTCGTTTGACGGCGGTTCGAATGGCATAAAATTCAAGGGTTCCACGTTTTAAGAAAAAGACTTGATGCTTTTTTGAGCAAGGGGTCTCCTTTTTGAGCACCTCTTGGAAATCAATTTTTTTGAAAGACTGTACGCGACTCAAGGTAATTGAAATACACTTTTCTATAGTCACTGACATTCGCTGATTTCGAAAATAACATTGCGAAGGTTCCACGACCTTGTGGAGCCGAGATATTGAACTTTTTTTCGAAAAAACGGAGTACCTCAACTTTTTGAATTTTTCTCCTAGATAATGCGCACTAAAAATTTTTTAAATAAGATAATCGCGATCAGCGTGAAGTTTTGCGTCGAAGGGTGTATATTTGCGGCAAAAATAAAATTATGCTTGACCTTTGAATTAGCGGAACCTTACAGCGACATCTTGAAATAAATGTTGTTCCGGTTTTTTCCGAACAATCTACGTATATGACACTTCTAAGAGAAATAGATATGCTAGTTCTTACTACGTTGCTACAGATCAGCAACAAGTTTTTTAACAAATAGATAGACTGGTAAATACGCAGCCCGCTGGCGAGATGGTTGTACGAAACTGGACGAAAACGGCCGAATACGGATGGTTGGAAAAGGGCAAATTTTATCAGATCTTCGTTATGGATGGACTCGTCTCTCTGCAGACGCTCTGTACGACTATCTGTTTCTCTGCGTAGGCGTTCAGAGCGACCAAAATCTGACATCAGTATAAATTGTCCTTGTTGGCGAAGGTAAAGAGAAGGTCGGGTAGCGCAAATCTAACGTACAAACTGTAGAAGTGAAAAATCATAATTTGGCTTATTATGTCCATATTTGCGATTTTTAAATCGCAAATATGGGCATAAAAGAAACTTTTATTATAAGTAGCTCTTGTCATGACCTTTTGCCATTGGTTTCTTTTGACTAAATAACCTACTACTATTACTTCAATTAGAAACCAATCATATAGTCCAGCTGTTTAAACACTGGGCGCTGAAAATGCCCCAAAATTATATATAGTTCGGTTGTGCGGAGCTCACGTAAAAATGCATCTTATTTTTTATCATTCGTTATAGCTAAAAACTACAGCATATATATCTTCGAACACACTGATCATAAATCTGAAATTACTTTTTATTCTTACAAAAAATGTCCACACATTTAAAAGCATCATACGGTGAGACTGACCGTCTAAAAAGATCCACACTTTATTATTCTGAGTGAATATTTAGACCATTTTACGCACTTAGTAACACACTTTTTATTCACAGTATACATTTTGCTTAAGTCTTTATTTATAATAAAATTTTTATAAATTATTTATTTTTTGTCACTTTTTTCTTACGATTGAACTTTGTTTTCTTGATTATATTTTATATTCAAGGGTTTTTCGTATTAACTGAACAAAAACCAAAGTTGTGTCCTAAGAAAAAAGTGACATCAGAAAAGATAAAATGATAATAAAAATGTTTGAAAGACTTTTTTGTTTTGCAATAGAAATTGTTTATACAGAATTCATAACATATACATATACATTTTCGATGCTAACGTCAGATATGACGTTGGTTTTACAATAAAATCGAAATTTTTTTTTGTGATGAAAATTGCAAACTACAAGCGTTTTTCTACGTATTCTTCATACAAATTCATTTGACTTTTCAAGTCATTTATCATGATAATAAACAAAAACCGAGTGTAAATTCATTTGATGAGAGTTCAATCAAAAATTTAAACAGATCATCTAACTACTACGAATATAATGAACGCATTCACCATTTTGCACTGCCATTATACATTCTGGTAGATCGTAATGCTATGAAGTTTTAAGAATTAATTTCCCTGATTTTTTTGTCACTGTTTGAAAATGGATCAGTACCATATAGATATTTTGAAAAATATATCTATCCCACGCTTACGATGGTAGTCAGTTTTAATAAATGTGCACATGATTCGACCATTGACATTAAATTTAACTTAGTTAATTCCATTTATACTCAGTACGCCTTTTCTGTGACCATATCCGTCAACGGATCGCACAGTGGGCATTTTTTGCTAGAGCAGGCGGACTTTAGCTTTATGAGTGAACTAAAATTTCATGAACCATTTTTTTATAGGTTTTTCATGATCCTCTTTCTAATGGCATGAGAGTTGGGCTTT